AAAGATTTAATACAGGCTAGCCAGTGGTAGCTGGCTGGACCTCGCGTGGCTGACTGCACAGTGTGAGTCCCAGAAAACAGGTGCTTGTGGGTGTGTGCCCAAAATCCCAAAGGGAGGGAGAAAAGAAGAGATTATGGCATGAGCATTCCCTATGAGGGGTGGTTGTTCTGTTGCTGTGTGTGTGTGTGTGTGTGTGTGTGTGTGTGTGTGTGTGTGTATCTCCAGTGGGTACACATGCCCTCTGGAAAACTTTTTTTAAAAAAGTAAAAATGTTAATCTCATCCACAAACACCCTCTAAGAGACAGTCAAAGTAATCTGACCAAATATCTGGGCTGCCCTGGTCGAGTCAAGTTGACCCATAAAATGAGTATAACAGGTCTTCGAAGTTAAAGAAGTAGTTTGCTAACAAATACGTAAGAATTTGTAAAGCCAAGTGCATGTGGCCCTTTAATGTCAGTCATTTATTTTCAAGAAAAATAAATGCTCAGTATGATAGCATGATGAAATGTTTTATATGAGGTCCTTCTGTCAATTCACTTTACAAAAGATAAGGACATCTAAGAAGTAAATATAAGACTAAGTTTATTGGGGTTAGCACGTGGCATAGTGGTTAAGGCAGTGGACTCCCATATGCCTGACTGCAGTTCAAGTCCTGGAACTGGCAGCTTGCTTTCTTACTCTCTTTCTCTCTCTTTCCCGGTCTCTGGGGAGTCCATGTGCCCTATAGCAAATTAAAAAAAAATAAAAACAACAATAAATAAAATTAAATAAATAGCTCTTAATGAAAAAAATGAAACTAAGTTTATGTTACATGAAAGCTCAAGTACACATCTAATCTAGTTCTCCTGAACCGAGAACAAAGAAAACATACAGGGTGAGCCCTTCAGCCCTATTTAGGTTGGGGCATGTATATGGCAGGTTGTGCATCATTACAAAGATATGTGTGTGTGTTAAAATTTGCTCTCAAAGTTTGTTCTGATTATCCACCCAATGTCACATGAGACAAATGTAAAGAGGCATCTAAGATTTCTCTACCTTTAAGACACTCTCGTCAATTGCCATTGTCTTTGGAAAAATACTAAATTCTGTAAAAACAGGTAGGGAATATGTCTGACTTTGTGAAAAGCACTGTCTGTAATTAACACTTTTTAAGAGAAACTGAACAAGTAGAAATCAAAACAAACAAAATGGAACAGGGCTTTAGGAGTGGTTGGCTAAGTGGGATTTTTAAAAGCTTACTTTTAAACTTCTGATATAGTACACATAGTGATTGTTGAGTAGTTCTCCCATATTATCTACTTCATGCAATCAAATGCAATCCATCAGATACCTAATATGTCCATGTATAGTCACCTATAATTACATTTCAAAATACTTTCAAATCTATCACTGTATCCAGTTCTCATAAAATGTCTCTGAATGTTGATAGATGTCTTATCTCCAACTTACTAATTTTTAAACACTTAAGATTTTAAAAACAAACAACATAGGTATCAAAAAAAATTTTTTTAAACACTTTTTTTTTTTTTTCCTACTGGTGGTTGTGTGCACTGACCAGAGAGAGGAGAAGGGAAGCTTTTCCTAGTGTGGTGTGGTCTCACCACCATCCTCTGTTCTCTGTATCTCTATCCTATCAAAACTTGAGGCATGCGGGCTGGCAGGGGGTGTGGCAGTTGAGGCACTGGACTCCCATATGATCTATTGTGGTTTGAATCCCAGACCTGGCAGCTTACTTTCTGTCTCTCTCGCTTTCTCACTCTGTCCCTTCTGGTCAAATTAAAATAAAGAAATAAAGTTAAATAAAATAATTCTTTTTAAAAATTGTGAGACATGTACACATATATGCCTAGTGTGCTTTTCAACACTCCTTGGCCAAGATTCAAGTCATGACTTGCCACTGGGACCCAGACCCGTATGCACAGCGCTGAACCACTGCCCTGCAGGGCCAGTCCTGCTGTGTCCAGCTTACAGATGGACACCCTGAGGCACAACTCAAGATAATAAACGCCAAGCATCACAGAAAATTGAGTACAAACCTGGGAAGAGATTAGACTTCATAGTTTTTGTACCACACTATCTTTAAGGTCTCCAGTGGGTTCTTGTTTCTGTACAGATTATTCAAAGGTCCTTTTTAAAAAACATTGCTTTTTAAAAGGAGAGGATATGTACTTTTTCTTCCCTTTTTCTGCATTCCATGGATTCGACAACTCAATTATATCTGGAGAGGAGGGTCTGCCATTCTGTAGCTGCCCGGCATCCTCCTGTCTACCTGGGCCTGGAACGATAGCCTGGCCCACTTGCTCAGGCCTTCTCTTCTGTCGCTGAAGCAATGAAGAAGGCATTATCCTAATCATGTTTGATGTGTGCTATCTCTGGGCACAGCTGTCG